GTTTCCTGGCATCCTCTCATGTTCCTGTTTGCTTTGCCTTTCCTTCTTCCTATCCCAAGAGGTAGCATGCATCAAGCTAAAAAGCAGACAGAGAATTTTCTGGCATGATGCTCCCGGATGAAGTTTCTGTTGAACAAAAGCGTGGGGATTGCGCCTGTCTCGGGGGTCTGCTACTCCCGGCTGACAGGCAGCCTCTGTTCCAGTGCATGACTGATGGAGCTTATGCTGAAACAGGCGGCAGGCGGATAAACATTAGCTTTACGCTGCGTTCCATAATTCGCCACAAACAAATTGAGCAGATTCTTCAATGCACACAAATGTGTAAGAATTGCTGCAAACGTTCTTAGAGGCTTTTAAGTATGCTAAGAAACACCTACAGGGCATGAGGTAGAATGCTTGTGTTGGATTTTGCTGGAAATTGCCAACTCTGGAGGCTGCTTAACTCCATAGTTACTTCAATGCATAATGGATAAAACAATAGAAGTATGAAACAAAAGAAAATAAAAATGTGTGCATGCTTGAATCTGTGAACAGTGGTACCTCAGTTCTCGAACTCATTAGAACTCGAATTTCTTAAAAGTCGAACCAGCCAGTTAGAAAAAAAATTACCTAGAACTAAGTCAAACCGTGAACCGCCGACCTAAGATAACTTGTATGCGCGGGGAAATGAGTCACGCGGCACATCTCTCAGCGGAAACAAAGGGTAACGCTTCAGTCTCAGCCTCGCATTCGCTGTGATAGCATCGTGCATGTTTACACTAGCTGAATACATATATTTAGACAGTAAAAATACATTTAGACAACGATAGACAGTAACAGTAATTATTAATATATGATAAAATACATTTAAAAATAAAGATTTCTTATTAATTATTTTAACATGAATAATAAACCATTAATACATTGAATTATAATAATATTGTCGTGCCGAGTGGGACGGAACGGAGACAAAGGCGCAGACGTCAGGGTATCGGGGAATACGGGGTTCAATTACAGGTAAGGCAGGCAAAATGCAGATGGACAATACAATGACCGGACTGGGGAAACAATCTGAAACGCGGACTAAATACAGAGGACTAATGACAACAATCAGAAACAGCTGATCACACGGGGATTCCACACGGGGTTAACGAGGGGGCGTGGCACATGGAAGGAGTGGACGATCGGGGCAGGACACATTGTTTTTTTAACTTTACACATTGTTTGGAAACATTTATTTTCTTACTTTACAAATTACTGTTTTGATCAATGTGCTTAGATGTGTTTAGTACAGTATATGCTGTTCTTGTTTTATCTGATCCATTTTGTGTATAAATGCTAAAAAAAAAACATATTTAGGTGTAATTTTTTGGGGCCGGGAACCAATTAATTGGTTTTCCATTATTTCTTATGGGGAGAATTCGATCACAACTCGAACCTTTTAGGATTTGATCCAAAGGTCTGAACGGATTAACGGTATATGTTTGTTTCAGTGTCTCATCTCCAGTTGGGGCCCTCCACAAAGTTAAGTTGTTCTAATCATCTACAGCCCAGGAAACATCTCAGTGTTTTTTGCACAAGACTGTCTTTGCCTAAACCTAACAAACCTGATGATGTCATATAAGAAAATTCAGTCAGTCCATGTTGAAAATCACAAAGGGTATTTCTCAGTATGTGTACCTGTGTACCTGCTTTACCTCACCTTCCATTGCCAAAGACCAGCTTGGATACTGATATGGATGTCGTTCTTGCCCCACCCCAAATATCAAGGACACATCGATTGCATCCTCGCCAAACAAGACCAATCCCCAATGGTGCCCCAAGTTAGTACTTGGGAGGCAAATTAGCAGGACCGTTCTTGCCAAGACCAAAAGTATGATCTTTGTTCTTTGTATTGAGAAACACCCGAAGTGTGAACACCAGCAAGCACAAGTGAGGGAGAAATACAAGGTACTACACTTATAAAAGTAGTGTAACAACATATCGGTAAGAATATAACATTAAAAAATACATGTTTTCCTACACTTTTCTGTGCTGTCACAGCAGTTTACCTGTGGGGGTTGGGCTTATCTTCCTTGCTCGCTTTCCTCTGTCTCTGTGCCGTCACAGCAGTTTACCTGTGGGGGTCGGGCTTATCTTCCTTGTCGCTTTCCTCTGTCTCTGTGCTGTCACATCAGTTTACCTGTGGGGGTCGGGCTTATCTTCCTTGTCGCTTTGCTCTGTCTCTGTGCCGTCACATCAGTTTACCTGTGGGGGTTGTTGGGGTTGGGCTTATCTTCCTTGCTCGCTTTCCTCTGTCTCTGTGCCGTCACATCAGTTTACCTGTGGGGGTCGGGCTTATCTTCCTTGCTCGCTTTCCTCTGTCTCTGTGCCATCACAGCAGTTTACATGTGCGGGTTGGGCTTATCTTCCTTGCTCGCTTTCCTCTGTCAACAATATATAATAAACACATGTATTTCCATATGGGAAGGGTTAGAAGTAGCACAAACACTCAACATATTTGTTTATAAATCATAATTTCATTTTAGCACATTGCAAAGATGTGTACATCCATGGGTTCAACTTCTCAGACCTGGATTTTGTTTATTTTCATTTTAAGTCAAGATTGGGTGCGAAAAAGCGCAAAAGAAATTTTCAATCATTCCTGGGGCTGACAACTTCCAAAGCTTCATCTGTCACTTTTTTTATTATGATTGTCACAGCCAGCTCCATGAGACGTGACAGCACGTCCCCAATGGGGTTTGCAGTCACAAGTGGACGTCCTTGCTGCTAGTAACATTATTGAGAAAACATATAAACATACAGCACTGTGCAGAAGTCTTAGGTAGTGAAAGACAGTGATACTTAAATGATCTTCACGTCGGTGTACAGCTATGATATCGGACCTGTCAAAATGTGTCAACTTTGCCATTTTGAAACCTCTCCCCCACTATTTGCTGTGACCATCCAATACACACACATATTTCCTGAGTCGACTACTCGCACACCTTGCTTGGTTTAATTAATTGATTATGATTATGAAATTTAATAAATAAATGGAACGGTTGCGCTGCCGCTGAGGGACCCAAAGAGGTGCTCATCTAGCCATCCAACATGTCATTAACTTTTTGAAAAACAGAAGAAATTTTTCCACTTGTTAGTTTTGTTGCATTATATGTTAAATTGTGTTTTTTTGTTCTGATAAAATATACACTTATAACTCAGATAAATAGCTTTAAACATTTCCTCTGACTGCCTAAGACTTTAAACAGTAAAAAATAATAGGTAGTCTATTGCAATTACATCAACAATGGCTGTGAATTTTAATAAACACTCATACATTATGTCATGTTGCATCACTGTGATATGAATGTTCAGATAAGGCGCATCGAACCGATAAAATTATAAGGCACCTGTATGAATTTCATGCGTGGAGCAGCTAAGCAGAGGTGTCATGGACCGGCGAGATACAAGGATAACATCAAGGAGAACAGAGAGAAACCAGACCAAATTAACATGGAGATGAAACTAACCTCAAGCAAGGCTCTGTACCTGCCAACGCAGAAGTGAGTCACCTGCAAAACATTGTGGCATTTCAAGTTGTGACAAAGAGTGTAAAAAAAGTAAAAAAAAAAAAAAAAACTGATAGAAATTGAATAACAGACCATTTTCTAGTTTTTGTCATAAAATATGAAACCCTTTATATCAAACACATAGCAAGTGTCATTTCCTTTCTGTTTCCCTGTTGCGAACGGTAAACGCCCTGAAGTGTTTGAGATGGTTTACTACTGAACACGCCCGGGGAAATGTTCGGAAATAAGTCAGGGATGTTGGCTTCCAAGCATTTATCCAAACTCCTTTAAACTCGCCACCACACCAGTGCTGTAAATTCAGTAACTCGCGCCCAAGGCAGGATGCTGAGAGTATATTTTACAGGAAACTTGATGGTCCGTTTCTGCAGAACAGTCCGCGGATGCATACAAGACTTATTAACTTCCCAAGCGGGAGAAGGTGTTCACTGTAGGTTCCCCATAGGTTCATACAGTTGTAGTGTACACAACTCTAATCAAACATTAAGGGCAAATAAGCATAAACAAGGCTAAAAAAATGTGACATTTCATAAAATGAAGAATGTATCTTTGTGAGATAACCTGCATATATCAGGAGTGACTATGCTTTAATGAGACATTCAAAAGCTCCATGCATTTGGACAGGAAAACACCAGATGGTTTAAAAGACATACATACATATACATATATACACATACATATATATACATATACATATATACATATACATATATATATACACATATACATATACACATATACATACATATACATATATATATACATATACATATATATACATATACATATATATACATACATACATATATAAAAATAACTATTCTGTTATTACCGTTATCTGTTACACACACACATCTTTTATCTTGATAGATCTTTTACTGAATAAGATGTTTACTCATGTTATTTTTCCCAGAAGCATCTCTGAAAATCAGAATCCATGTCACATTTCTCAATATTTACATTTAAAATTACCAAAACAAAGTGGCAAGTATTACTGCCACTAAACCATCACCCCGGTCAGCCCAAAGTGAACCTACCTCCACCAGCGAGAGGAGGCTTCTGTCACTCAGTAGGATTTGCAGTGAGATCCAGGCGAAGGCGAGACACTGGCCACTTCCAAGCAGGTCATGATGGAGCACTGCAATCAAGATATCTACCACTGCATCTGATTGTCTAGTTACAAACAATGACATGAAGTAGTAAATCGGGAACACGGGGCAGCGAGTGGCCCAGTCGGTTAGGCCTCGGTGCCTGTGATCGGAAGAGTGCTGGTTCAAATCCCTTTGTCGGGAGAAATATTCACACTGCCGCTGGGCCCTCAAACCAACGAAACTTTAACCTTTGCTCTCACCTGTGTGTCCCTGACAGGAGAGATGGGAAATGTGAAAAGCAAAAAAAAATTTTTAATTACATGCAAACCAAATACATTTAGCATTAAACTCTGACCCAAGCTTATCTTTAAAACGTCTTTATTACCAAAATACAATGCAAAAGGCAAAACAAGGACGAGTCTACAGAAGCCGAAGATATGAGCTGAAACACAAATGTACACAAAGGCGACGTTAACAGGGAAAGAAAGATCAGTCCACACTCTGCGTCTTTGGCATTAAGGCATGCAGCTTAGTGTGCCCAACCGAGTAAAACACAAAACTGTCCCTACACTGCACTGGGGAATTTAAAAAGAAAAATCGTATATAGCCTTTTCCTCCCTCACACTTTGGCCAAAAAAAAATAAAAAATCATATTCTTTATTACGATCATCAGGTTTTTACAAGATGTTTTAAAAATATAGACATCTTTAAAAAACATTTTGTAATATTATACACAAGTGAAAGATTTCAATATAAGCAATTCTGTATAACCCCCTGCCAATATCTGCTATTCATTACAGAGGGTGCTCAGGTTGAAATACTAATGAGCATGATCTCCAAGGAAGGCCTCTCATAGAGGGGGGGGGGGCAAACCAAAGACCCACCCACCCTAACCACACGGCACGTGGAGGCCAGACCATCGGGAACAGAAGGCACGCGAAGGGACCGGACAGCTTTGCCGAGTATACGGATGCCTGAGGGGACGTCTGCACATCTCCAGAACCAGCTGGCACTCCCATTGGTCAGCTGGAAGATGGCACTGAGGGTAAGATGGGGGTGGGGCCTACAAAAGAGGGCGGGGCCTATCGCTGGCTGTGCTTGCTCATTAGCACAAACAGGCATGAAGCTTCATATATACAACCACCTTTCTCCAGGACTATTTAAAAATTCACAATAAATCTAAACCAGGCAGATACGGACCAGAGAAATAACGACGGCATGGCAAAGGAGAGCCCCAAAGAATGCACCCAGGATACACGCACAGTCAGCCCAGCTTGGAGGTATTCTGATTTTTGGCCCAGAGTCATCAGCAGACTGCTGTCAGTCAGTCCCGTCACAGATTCACACGTGCTGACGGCTGGTTCATAATACAGACAGACTGACGCACGCACTTTTAACTAAAATGCACACAACAGATTCCACACCAAAAAATACCCATGGTCACCAGACACATAAAATGTCCTTATAAATAAGCCACAGCTTCAGAAAATAATTAGGAAAAAATCCTACAACTACAGGCCTGCTGCCATAAAGTTCAGCTTATTTCCAATACTGCTTACAATACGAACTAAACTGCCAGATCCTGTCCTATGCAGATTGTGCTGGGGGGAGAGGGGATAGTCATATGATTCTTGTAGAAGCGACTCAAAGTACGGGAAAAGTGTTAAAATTCAGCAGCCTGACAAAAAGAACATTGCCTGCTGAAACAGAGACATTCACACCCACCGTCAAGGTTGCACTGAGCTGTGACAGCATTAACAGGTCATTAACCTGCATTAAAACACGAAACAACGTGGAGTTTAAATGCAAACTGCGTTTGATGCTCCTTGCTCAGGCGCTCTGAACTGTAAATTAGGAAGAACAACAATAATCTGAGATCTAAATTAGACTTAGGAACAGAAAGATAAGGTAATCTCCAGAGTCCAGGTCTTACATTCTAATTGGTTTCAGCTGATGCTAAGGTTCTTAAGATTAAGATTCTGAATTAAATTCTCTACATACGACTATAGCGCTGCATGACTATAAAGCTCATTTTACAGAGGTAGCCAAAAGACAAGCCCTTGGTGATGCCTTCATGACCCCTATGCCCAAAAATTCAGTTGGGGGGAAAAAAAAAAGAATATTGCAATATTCTTCATGACAAGGCAGAAAATGTCACATGTATACCCAAGAAATGGTTCATTTGTACACATAGATACAACCACAACATGTCAAACGTTAGACAAACACACAGCTGAGCAGAGAATTACCTAATATAAATATACAACACAAATGTCAGTTATAACTGTCAAAAAAAAAGGGAAAAAATACGACTTTGGGAAAGCTCGAGAATCATTCAGGTGTCAGTCATGGTTGTCACATGGATAAATTATGAGCTCTTTTAGGACAGCAGTGGGCCGCCTAACAGTTACGATGATCGAAATCCCTCCACGTAATGAATGGAGAAAAGTCACAGGAGGATGTAGCGAGCAAATGAAGGTAGCCGTCAGTGTTCCCTTCCTTAAGCGGCTACGCTTCGGGAAAGTCTTGGGGGTGAGATGTGACGTACCAAACAGCAAACAATTTCAGCCATTAAATGTGTGGCTATAAATGATAAATCGCATTCATTTAGCCAGTTCAGCACTTAATGTTACATATTTATGCATCAATACAGGAAGAGTATTTTGTCTTAAAAAAAATGAAGAAATCCCCTTGATTTTAAGGTCAGTTCATAGGCGGTAAGAAAGTAAATATTAACGTATTTGGTGACAGTTATATCAAGACAACAAACTCACCCTGAATGACAATTCCCTGTCGGTCAAGCCCACAGTTTCACGGTTCGTTCCTTAAGTGATTTTTTTTTGTCCTTCTGTGTCTCTGACAGAAGGGCTGTGTCGAGAGAAGGGCTTTTACTTCTAAAGGATTGTTAAATAGCACCAGAGAGAACATCGTACGAAAGGCTTCTCAGCTGACATAGCTAACGGAAAACTATGTGCATAAATATAAATTAAATAAATATCGTCATAACTACAAATAGTAAAAACATACAGTAGCAAGGTATTTTACAGCCATGTGTGAAAATGTGTGAACGTCTAACTATAAATATAGTTTTAATATTACAGTGATTTCAACCAAAGCTGCCAAACAAAACATTAAACTATGCTTATACCCTTTCAGGGCAGAATACCATTACCAAGCAAGCATTTTTGTTTGAGGAGGTATGCAATGTCTTGAACATAATGACCAAATTCAGTATTAATTCGATACCGAAATATGATTTAACCAAGTATTTATAAAGAACTGAAATCCCAAATAAAATTCAACTTAAAGTTTAACTTGGGACTGCTGTACTGATAAGATATTCAATTTAAGCAAACATAAAAATGTTTAAATATTTTTACTTTTTTTGTGCAGAGACTATAACATCTCATTTTTTCACTCTATACCCTTCATATGAAAGTGGAAACACAAGGGAGGTACGGCTATCAAAATAGTTTAAATGTATATGGTGGTTTAGGTGGAGGGAATTTTGCATGGCAAACAGAAAGGAAAAAAAATACCTAAGATTGGGCGTTTTTGCAAATCCAGGTACATGTTGCCCCATGGGCAAGTGATAAGGGACCCTTCAAGCCCTAATAGGGTGACCCGCAGACCTCATTGTGGATGAAGAGCAAAACACTTGAGAGTAGTGGGGATGCAGTGCGTCTCATTGCCCTGCAGGGGGCAGGGCGGTTTGTGCTCCCGGCAGCTCCTTGCTCAGGATGATGCTGATGATCTCGCCCTCGTGCTCCTTCATGTGCTCCATGAGCCGTTCCTTGCTGGCCGACTCGAAGCCACAGATGCAGCAGCAGAAGAGCAGGACGCAGTGCTCGGCACCCAGCCGTGCGGCGGTGGCCTTATCGGCTGGAGCGGGGGCCATGGCGGCCAGGGCCGGCGCCCCCGGCGCCTCCATATCGACGCCATGCTTGGCAGGGGCGTCCGAGGCCGGGCCTGTCTGCTCCTCCATCACCTCTGAGACGGTCATGGACTTGTGAGCCGCCCCGGATAACCTGCCGGCGTCAGACACGGAGATGAGCGGCTCCGTGGAACAGGGCTGTGGGGACAGCTGCGAGGGAGGGGGGACACACTCACCGGTTGCTCTGCGACATGGCCTCGTTGATGGCCCTGTTCACCTGCTCGTAGTTGTAGTTCTGGTCGCCCGCATGTTTCCACATGTGTGACTTGAGGGACGGGGGGTGACTGCAGACGTAGCCGCACAGAGAGCACCTGCAGGGAGCGCGGGGGCACCGTGTAACGCCCGAGTAGGGGGTGAGGAGGAACAGTGCGAACAGATACTCATATGGTAATAACTCTGCTGCTTATAATAAACCCGACCAGTCAGGGAACAAGGAAGTGAATCAGAAAAGGCAGAATGTGAGGTAACTACGGACCATCAACCATAAAGGCAATTTAGATCAACCAACTGTCATCGAAACAGAGACAGAAGCTTAGCTAGACACTTATCCTCCTGGGATCCAGTGCTTCATTTTCATTTCTGTAGAGGACATTATGATTATGCTCATCTCTCTCATACTTTACAAGCCACTCAAGTCCTGTTGTTCCTTAAAGAGGAAAGTTAGGGCTTTAAGATGACATCACATGTGTGACCTCACCAACATCCTTTGCCTGTCAAATCAATATTTCAATTAATACTAAAACTTTTTTTTTCCCCTCCATGCCTATGGGGAAATCGCTACGATTTCTGTTTATTTAGGAGACCCTTGTCTTCAGATGGTCCTTGGAAGAGCTAAGGGTCTAAATCACTCTGCCAGCCACTGAATTTGAACCGGAAACCGTCCAATCGTGGGCATAGTCTCCGAAGCACACACTGCCCCTAGAGAGCTGGTTGAGTGAAATGGTGCTGAAATTGGTCCAGGCTTCTCTGATTCATGAGCCGTGAGGAGCAGAGGTACGTGATCAGCTCCCACACGCATGCTCACCCCGCGGAGGATCCCTGGGGTCGCGCAGGATTTCTCCTGCGTTTCCGAAGCTCTCCTGCTGTGCGCTGCAGCACAGAGTGAGTTTAACAAACGTTCGAAGGGATACAAAACTCCCTGGAGTAAAACCAGGCTGAAACGGGCTGCAGATTAACGGCGGATGTCAAACCCCGAAGTTTACTCTCTGCCGTTGCCCAGGGATCTGCATCACTGCCATTTTGGGATGCTTATGGCTAAAATCCAGAATTTGAATTTTTGGCATGCAACGGCTTCCTTTGATACTTGATTTTAATAAATATAAATGTAAAAATATTGTATCTATGTTCTGCAAAAGTAGGCATAAAATAATTTATTTGGGACTGTTTGTTCACGTAAACTCATAAATACCGCAAAACTTTGCAATATATGCAAAAAAGTCCAAAAGAGGGTGAACACTTCCAGGGAACAGAACTAGCACCAACCCTAACCGGAGTACAAACATGCCATTCCTCACCAAGAACTACTGCTCCAGTCCAGCCCGTGCTGTGAATGATCTAGACCAAATGGATCCATGCCCATCCAAACTCATGCTGTTTAGGATACGCACCAGACAGATCTGTCCCAGCCCCCTGCAGCCTCACACCCGGCCCGACAGGCACGGCCCTTACGCCACACTCCCGCCTCACCTGTACTGATCCATCAGCTGTACGGCCTGGTGGTCCTGTGGATGACGCCTGATGTGGCTCTTTAGGCTGTTCATGTTGGTGGTGGCAAAGTCACAGCTACAGCACCTGCAGGGCAGGTCCAGCAGGGGGCGTCAAGGGCCAGCTGCTCTGTCCAATCAGAGCTCCACACAGTCTCACTCAAAAAGGCATTCAGACCCACAAACAAACACAGTTAACAAATCAAAGGTAAACCCGAGACTAGCACCAATGTTCAAATCCAAAAAGTGAGAGAAATGTATTTCTGCTGAGAGACTTATCTTCAGTTGTATTTTTTATGCCTGTTTGTAACAGACAACGGCAAAAGATGATCTGACATTCACTGCAAACAAAGACAAACATCCACAGGAAGAACCTGGGTGTCTTTTTGTTTAAAAAAAAAACAAAAAAATTTACTGATGCAACTGAAAGTGTTGACAGCTGAAGGTGTTTTGCACTGGGAGAGATTTGGCGTGCATCTGTTTACACGCTGTACATGTGTATATGCGTGCATGAGTGTCTCGAGGGTGTAGTTCTGTCGAACATGGTTTTCTGGGAAGCCCCGGACGAAACTTCCTGAGCCTTTGATGTACGCATCGGATGCCGGAGCGTGCCGAACGTGGCGGATGGCAAATGCACAGATGAAAGAGATGGAGAAGCCGGGAAAAGAGGTCGGCTTTGCACGCCCACGGGCAGCGAGGACCATTTAAAGGCCCGGCAGCCGCATCCTGTTGCGCAGACGGGGATGACACGCAAACCGATTCTCCAAGCCGCCCGCTGCTTACGATGCTACAAGCTGCTAACTATGCAGAAAGGCATGCGGCGTCGACTTGAAATGCAAATGTGAATCGGCAGGCTCTACAAGCGCCGAGGCAGTGAGGCTGGGGGTAGATAAAGCAGGGCTTGCTCTGACACAGAAATTATCCACACTGATAAGGACGTGTTAGACCAGCTCTGCTTCTCCTGTGGTTTATTCACAAAGTGCTCGGCCTTTAACTATCTACTATCCTGAGATAAGGAGTGAGGAAAACACAAGACACCAAGAACGGTCAAAGGGGCCAAGACTGCCTTGAAAAAAAGAATACAGCGATTTTTGGATTTTTTACACTAAAAGGTACCTGTTTTTTTTTCAGACTGAAAACAATCAGGTTGAGGGTCAGTCAAAGGGAAGCATGGGATGGAGACAGACAGACAGACAGACAGACAGACACACATGCTGGCATGCGAAGACACTCACACACGCACAGACACGCATACACTTACGCACACGCAGACACGCATGCACCTGTACGGCTTGTCCGAGTTGTGGATCCTCCGGTGGTTCCGGACCCCGACGTACGTGGGGCTGGTATAATCACACACGTCGCACTTGTAGAGCTTCTGGAGGGTTCGAGAGGAGACCCGGCAGGCATCTGGAGGAGACATGCGAGAGGGAGAATGCTTGAGTCACCATCTAGGGCAGGGGTAACCTTTCCAACCACAAGGTCCAGCTGCTGACCATTATTACGTCCTGGCAAGGGGGGGGGGGGGTCTCTCTGTAGATTTCCCTAAGTGAGGGCCCATCTAACACAGATCCACCTATAGGAATAGTAGCTGAGAGACCCTGATCTAGTCCAGCCAACTAAATCCTGCTCTGATGCGTCATTAATTGGGAACGGAACAGCATGTGCGGGAAGGCACGACATGTCCGCCGAACCCCGGGGACTCAGTCTGAATGAGCACAGCAGCATCTACAGGGCTGCCCCCCACCTGGTCGCGGGGCTAGGAATAGGCAGGCCTGCTCCTGGCCCTTGTACTTCATAAGGCACTGAAATTCAATACACAGAACACACAGCATCCAACTAAATCAATAACTTTTTGGTGAAAAAAAGAATCACGTACTAGTTTTTTATTGTGCTACTCTTCATTTGCATATATGCTTCTCTGTCCTGGGCATACAGGACTGTGCAAAAGTCTTAGGTAGCCAAAGAAAATGATGTTTAATTGATCTTTATGTTGGCGTAAAACTACGGTATTATGCCTATCAAAGTGTGTCAGTTTAGCCATTTCAAACCCTCTGCTAAAATCACCCCAGTGTTTCCAGCAACCATCCAACACACCCATGTATTTTTTGACTGGACCACTCTTTTAGCTAATCAATATCTCACAGACTTTTTAAAACTAATTAATTAGTTGAGTGAGCTGGTGGTGATATTTAATAAATACATGTAATGGCTGGGGTGCCCTTGGGGAGAGGTTTGGGACCTGAAGCCGTGTTCATCTAAGCATCCAACTAAATCAATCAACTTTTTGGTGGAAAAAAAAAGAATGACGTACTAGTTGTTATTGTGCTACTCTTCATTTGCATATATTCCAATGCTAAATTGTGTTTTTTGTTCTGAGCAAATGTGCATTTACTACTCAGACAAATAGCTTTAAACATTTCTTTTGCATGGGACTGTACACCACCGTGAATTAGAGCGAATGAGCAAACAAAGTATAAAATGCAAACACTCAAAAGACTTATTGCAGGATGCAGGTAATGCAACAGGGTATCAAACCAACAAGCCATGGACTTGGCAAGACATAAGACTGCAGGGGAATGCTGAAGACGACTTATTTCCATAAAACTTCCCTCTAGAGACTTAATTGCGAACTATCCACACAAGTAGTGACTGACAGAATTTTTTTTTTTCTGAAGTGATCATTGAAACTAGAAGCAAACACACAGTGGAGACAATCTGTACAATTGCTGCCTTAAAAAATGTATCAGTTTTTACTTATAATCAAAGGTAAAGAGCCAGTTTGATCGCTACATTTAATTTTCAAATTTCTCTTTCATAATTTGTCAAAAAAAGTAGGCCTACATGAACAGCAATATCAATGCCTGAAACAAACGTGTCCGGATCCAGAATTAAATTCATCCAACAGTCAACCAAGAGCCAAACGCTTTTAGCATGTTAAAGGTTACTGCTGATAAGACAGATGGCAATTCTCTCAAAGTCTTTGAGACACAATGGGAAGAAAAAAAAACTGCTTTGGTATGAGTGATGGACGGATAGTGACGTGGCTGAAAACAATGGCGTGATGTCACACGGAGCCTTGATGCACCCCTTACATACATGCATTTTGCCTGTGAAGTCACACGGAGCCTTGATGCACCCCTTACATACATGCATTTTGCCTGTGAAGTGCTCACCCTGCTCTGGGGCCTTCTCCTTCGCTCCCCCTGTGCTCGAGCCGCTCTCGGTGACTGGCATCAGGGGCGCTGCGGCGTACCTGAGTCCGTGCTGCTCTCGCTCGTGACTCCTCAGCTGACTCTGAAGGGCATCAGTACAGGGACAGAAAGTGTGAGACGGCAGTACAGACTGAAGTATCAATACGACCGAAGCAAGCATGAAATGGCAATGCAGCCTGAAGTATTAATACAAGTGTAGCGAGTATGAGACGACAGTACAGCCATTATACTGTACAGACAGGGGTGTCAAAGTCCAGTCCTGGGGGGCGGGAATCCTACACATTTTTGGGGTGACACCTGATTCAACCCCTTTGCTAATTACCACACAGCTCTTGAGCTGAATCAATTGTAGTAAAACAGGGAAAGAACTAAGCTACACAGGGCTCCGGCCCCCCAGGACCGGAGTTCGACACCCCTGGCCTAGGACAGCAGTACAGTTTGGAGTATCATTACAAGCACTGTAACAATGCAACAGCAGTGCAGTCTGGGGTAAGGTACTAATAAAAAAGGTACTAATGCAGTACTAATATAAAAGCCCTTATATATTAGGAAACAGAAAGTATACTTCTATAATCTCGCTACTTTTTGAAAGAATCTACCCTCAAAGACCTTGGGAACTTGGGGAAGGCACCGAAATGGCTTTTTGTGAAGTGATGCTAGCAGTTAAACAACGTGTGAAACACCAACCGGAAACATCATACAGCTTCCATTTACTGCAGTTTCATCTTAGTCAATCTTTAGAAGGACACTGAGGCATCTTGCCGTGGAGTTAATCAGGCTTGGTTTTACATTAAGGCGCCTCGAGTCGGTCTCTGCGTCCTTCAACGAGACGGCTGACTGGGGGCAGTGTGTGGCTCAGCAGAATAGGGTACAGAGCCCATGAGCGGAAGGTCGCTGGTTCGAATCCTGTGGTCGGCAGGGAGATACCATCACTGGGCCCCCGAGCAGGGCCCGTGAGCCCCAAATGCTTCAAGGACCGTCTGAGCTGGCCTTCCCAAATATGTACATTACTTTGGATAAAAACGCCTGCTAAAAAAGTGTAATTTTTCAGATTATTATTAATGATTACATTAATATTTACATAATATACTAATTAATTTGATGATTAATTGCAAATAATATATACATATCACAAATAATATATATATATACATATCACAATATACCAACCACCCACTGCAGGATGCACACTCAGGGCAGATTACTAAATGACACGTATCTATTGCCTACCTCGCATTATTGGGCAAGTCTGTCAGATCTAAATGTCTCCTTTTAAGATGTATTTGCATTAATTGTGTGGTTGCGATGCCCAAGTTCTGTTTTGCAATACTGACAAACGACTGCATTTTCATTCACTTTTAATGCGAAGTGCTTCCACGCAACTTACATTTTCGCTCTTTATTTACACCCACATCCTTCCACCATATTGTGGAGTAATCAAGAGGGAATATTTGAAACCAATGCTTTTCAATAGAGTATGTGAGTTTAAACGTGTAATCATGGCCACTTTATAAAATTTATAAATGGCTCACACCCTCTGCTCTCACCAACGCTCCATCGCAGTAGAAGGTTCTGATCCGAAGTCGCAGCGCACTGGCATCGGGCTCACCTTGTAGTAGAAGGTCTCATTGCACTGCTTGCAGTGGTACATGCGGGTCTTGCAGTGGTTGATCATATGAGTCTCCAGGTCCTTGCTATCGCATGCGATGAAGTCACAGATGGGGCACTGGTAGGGCTGTCTCTGGCGGTGCACGCGCAGGTGCTGTTTGATGTAGCCCTTGTTGCCACTGGTATAGCGGCAGAGGCGACAGCGAAAGGGCCTTTCGCTGTTGGGGATCACCTCCACCAAGCTGCTTTCAGGCAGGCTGGAGTCAGGGCCCGGCTGACCCTGGGCGTTCACCTGCAGTTCCTTCAGGATGTCCTCGTCCGACGTGTTCTGGTCCGTGCGCTCCCGCAGCTTCTCGATGACGGTCAGCAGGGACGTGCTGATGCCCATCTTTGCCGGGCCCTCGGCCGTCACCGCCCCGGTGCGCGTCTGCAGTTCTAAGTTGACCAGAGCAGTGGGGCCGCCTCCCCCCCCGATGGTGGCCAGAGGGGGGCCTTTTAGCGGAGCGACGTCGAGGAGGCCCTGGCCCGTGTCAGGGCCCTGGGTGCTCAAGCCCACCAGGCTCTTGACGCCAGACTTGCTCAGCTCAGCTGTTCTCGTGGGCATTGCCACCAGGGCCTCCGCGGCCAGCGAGTGCAGCCTTAGCGACTCTGAGTGCGTCCGCCGGCGCGTCGGGGGCATATTCTCGTCTGGGGGTGGCGCCGGCACCTCTTGGGCCTCGTCGGGGTCCTCGTCGGCCCGTGGCTTCTCGCTACCGCACCAACCGACGACCACTTCCTCGTCCTCATAGTAGGCGGGGTGCGCCTCCCCAGGAAGGAGCCGCTTGTCAACCTCGGTCACCAGGAACGGCTCGCCGGGGACCCGCTCCACGATGACGTTGACGTGTCCCGCGCTGTTGGGGCTGCGGCTGATGATCTTCTGCGCAGATGAGAGGAGGCTGTCTGGGCAGGTCGCTTCGGGTTCCTGCTCCGTCGTCACCTGCACCTCCACCGCCGGCTCTTCCGTAAAGGGCACTTTAGATTCGTAGGCTTCCTCTACGGCCTCCGCGGCCACCCCAGCCTGCCGACCACTCTTGGCCGCCGGCTCACACAGTTCGATCTCGAAGGCGGACGTCCCGTGTATAGGTTCCTGTTTGCTGCCAACGCCCCTGACGACCATGACGGCCTCGGTCACAGGATCGGGGGCTGACTCGTCCTCGAATATGGGATAGGAGCAGTCCACCAGGCCGGCGTGCTTCCACGCATGAGTCTTCAGCATGCGCTGCTGGCCGCACACGTAGCTGCAGATCAAGCATCTGTACATGCCGTACTTCTCGCAGCTGTACCACTTCTTCTTCACGGGCTGCTCGTCTGCGGGGGGCCCGCCACTTTCTGATTTCACCTTAGGCGCGTGTGCGGCTGCTTTAGCCGCATTCGATTCGGCCGTGTGACCATCGCCGCCATCTAGGTGCAGCCTGATATGAGCCTCTAGCTCCTTCTGCTGGTGAGAGGTGAAACAGCACTCAGAACACACCAGGATCACGTTGCTCTGCTCCTGGGGCAGTTCATGCTGCCGCAAATGCTCCTTCAGCAAGGACAGCGTTGGGGAGATGTACCTACACAGGCTGCACTGGTAGCAGGTGACCACCCTGCCGCAGCCGCTCTCCCGCGCACCTCCTCCTGACAGGTAGTACTCTACCTGCGTTTCCTCCTCATTTGCAGGTGCACATGTCTCTTTAGATTTTTTGCAGGGAGTCTCACTGCTCCCGTCTTTGCTGTCCTGCACCTGCACACAGGGGAGGTGGGGCCTCTTTTTCCCGGACAGGGAGTAACGGTGGACGGGCTTCTCCACAATCTTGCTCAGCTTCTCAATCACCTGGATCAAGGAATCGGCAGCCCGGCTGTGTTCGTTGGGGCTGCCGTCCAGGTCCTGGAGATGCACACCAGAAACAGTCACCACTCTCTCTGGGATGAAGACGGCGTCCTGCTGACCCCTACTGTGTGGAAGTAGGACTGCAATACCACTGTTGTCTTCCATACCTGAAGAGGATCAGAAATGTAGGTATATTTTACCGCAAAAGAAAAAAGAAATAAATAACTAAATTCTGCTTTATATGTAAGGCAGGTAACTGGAGCTCTCTATGGCCACTGGCTTTAATTACATCTCTAGAAGGTAAATTATGTGACATATCAGGTGAGCTCACTTTTTCCCAATGAGTCCATTGACACAACAGAAATCTTAGATTAAATTGAAAACACAACCCTGAAAGCTTGGAATGGATAACAAGGAACATGAAGCAAGTAGGTATAAATAACTATGCCTGAGATGCAGAGGAGAATGTAAAAATAGCTGCTCATGCTTCACTTTCTTACACATTACACAGCGTTGCATTTACAGCGGCATGGCCTGTACCAGCAGTCCGCTGTGAACTGCTCTGGATTTTGAAGAGACACAGAAACAGTCCACATCCCTTTTTCATCATTGCTGTTTAGGACCTACCAAAGCCTGTGTCTGTGCCCTTAAATAACACAAGAATTTCCTCCAATCCATCCATCCATCCTCCCTCCCTCTAACCCAGGGGTGTCAAACTGCAGTCCTGGGGGGCCCCAGCCCTGCACATCTATGGGTTTCCTCTCATTTAACACACCTGATTCCACATCTCTGCTAATGACCACCCATTTCTCCAGTTGAATCGGGTGCAGTGGAACAGGGAAAGAAGTGAGCTGTGCAGGGCTGGGCTCTCTGGGCCTGGAGCTGGAGACGACTCCTCTAACTTATCCTAGTCACAGCTGTGCAGTCCTAGGAATTTTAACACAAAAACTATGCTACAGCCCTGGTGGCCCAAATAGTGAAATGTCCAATACTGTAAAATGAGATCATCTCCAAAATGGGAGCCATTTTAGCGTATTTTAATTTACATACACATTCCCTAGAAAGCAGGATGACTGGACACAGTGCACTGTCCATACAAAACCAGGAATAGGGCACTCATTCAGTTCACTGTGCGGTTTTTTTGGTTTCATACTTGTGACCACAGATAATGGTCTCTGGTTCTCACTTCTCCTTTGTGCAGTTAGATTGCCACTGTGGACTCCACTATAATACAGAGGGAGAGAGTCAGGACCCAGGAGAGATGCTCCGGTTCCACCAATTAAGCCACTCAAGACTGACGCTGATTTGTCAGTAACGATCCAGCTTTTCGAAAGGGCGCATTTGACATATGCAGTTTGAGTCACTTTAGGTAAAAGTATCTTGAGCAAGCAAATCATGTGCAAATAATTTTATCACTGGTGAAATTCTGGACAGGAATGTACAAGGCAGTGCAGTACAATGCAGTACGTAAAAGAAGACTACAATTAAATATCATAAAGGAAACACTAGTAGAGTAAATGGTTATACTGTATTCTGAATATAATAGAGCCGGTTGCTAATAAAACGTGTTATTTGCCATCAATGTTATAAGTGTGTTCTATCCTAGACACATCAATTTAAAACCCAACAGAAACATATTTCCTAAAAAAGCTAGTGAAGCTAATCGTAGACCATTTACAGATTTCAGAAAATAAATATATGCGTGTATACGTGCACGCCTTTAAAGAGGGTCGATGGGTATTGTAATGAGATAAATACTTCTCATTGGTATTGAACATCATGATCAACAACCAGAAGGTCTCAAGGCTGTGTAAAATCGACGTGGTACCGAGAACATGGGGCCCATGGCCGTGGCAATGTGGAAAAGGGGGCAGGACAAACCCCTCCACGACTGCAATACCTCAGCAACCCCACGAGTCACCCTAACTCCCAGCGCACCGAATATATAACACTAAAACTCGCATTTCCTCACGTAATGAATTACTCGGGTCATACGACTTTTATGCGTTACACATGTACTTACTGGTCAAGCAATTCACAACGATCTTTGGCTTCGCCACATGAAGGACTTTGAGCTTTTTTTTCCTTTCGCAGTAAAAGTGATCCCTTTCTCTCACACCGCACTCAAAATGGCGTTCTTGGAGCGGTGATCACGTGACTCTCCCACCGACGAGATCATGTGATCACAGCGCTCCGGTGTGGTCGTAGTACCATCGATTTAGCCACACTCCTGAATACAGAGGATTGGATAACCACTTGCGTACTACGATGTGCATGTCCACCATTCCGCTTTTCAACGTATTTTTTTTTTTACAGAACCTTTAAAATATACATATACGAAAATTTCCTGCATTTAAATATTAAATTGTCGTCTGCAAATACCCCGCGACCTAACCATGACAAGAAAGATGGATGGATGCTTTAAAGATACGTCAAACGTTTATAAATACATCCAGACAGCTGGCAGCATGGGGGCTCAGTGGCTAGCTATGTCGCCGCATACATTTCTCTGTGTTTGCATGCGGGTTTTCTCCCGCATTCCAAGGACATGCAGTTGGATTAATAGGTGACTCAAATTGCCCGTAGTATGCGCGCCCTGCGACGCACATTCGCTACATGGACTGACGTGCCGTACAGGCTGCACCCCGCCCTGTGCCCCCTAGGACAGGCTACTGACCCCCCTGACGCTAACCTGTATAATGCAGATAGAAACGGATGGATCTTGGCATTTGAATCTTCAAACATTAACAGATCATTCGTATTATGGGAGATTGAAACAACGTCGAAATAGTGCCACCTAGAGGTGCTGAAACAAATTTGAAGGTACATTTTAAGTGTGCATATTATGCATTATGAAGAAAGTTCCAGTGTACTTTGGCATACTTTTCAGGTAATTGTGCCGTTCCCTATTGCTTTGGGAGCATTGAAATTGCTGCTACCACCCTTCATGGGTTAAGCAAAATTATATTACTGAAGCTATAAACAAATATTTTCCCTCGTGATTCAATTTGCTTGTGCTGGCTAACTTACACGCTCCGCATTCTTGACGCAAAACGGAAATATGCAACACTTACAAAGAACTATAGCGATGCCATGTTTAGAGCTTGTCATAATTTATCTACTTGCTTAAAATGCCTGTATTTCTATTTTGGTGATGTAGCGAAGAGAACATGTAGGCCATACTTAATACGAACACCTTCATTAATTCATTGTATACTTCCAGCTATTCACAGACCAAACAAAACATAAAAAATTAAGAACACAGGCTATACGTTTAATGGACGATCTTAATAAACCTCAATTATTTGTGTGTGCGTGTGTGTGACCAAATGTCCCCCAGAATGTAATAAAAACCTTTTTTTTGTTACATTGTGGGGACCAGTTTTTCAGTCCCCACAAAGACCTGTGAATGCAATCAAAAATCTCCTATTTGGTTTGGTTACTTATGGTTCAGGTTATATGGGATTAGAGTTTTCCCCATAAAAATGAATGGAGAGTCCCCACAAAGATATAAGTACAAACCTGTGTGTGTGTGTGTGTGTGTGTGAGAGAGAGAGAGAGAGAGAGAGACCAATATTTTTACACAATGTTACAAAATCATTAAGGTTGGATTGTTGTAATAATTACATATTTGTCAATCACTTAATAGTTATACATTTGACTACGCAAGACCCGATCGCTTACAAGCACCAATAGAAAAAAATAAATGTGAAACCTAAATCATTTTAGATCACACTGTATGAAATATTGATTAACACCTCCCCCCCCCCCCCCACACACACACACACACACAGTGTGCAGATAATATCTATGTCATATAGTGTAGTTCTTCCAGCTGTTGAGAGTATTGTTGACGACATTGAGAGCTCACACTTAGGCCACCAAACGGTCCACTAATGTGCTTGCACGATTTATTGTTTTAATTAGCTCCTCAGTGCCGTGTTATAAATTGTTTCAGTTCCACCAACAAACGGGAAGTCAGCGGTGTGACCGCTGCCTCCGCAGGCGCTCACACGCCTAAGGTAAGGCATAGTCAGTGTAGCCAGATTTAAATGAAGACTATGGAAATATATAGATTACTGAACTATATTAATGCGAAATGGCGCCTCACTGTCGCCTCACCCCTGTGGGACTTGGGTCTCTGTGTCGTCGTGGGGCTTCCTCCTAGTGCTCCAGCTTCCCCCCAAACTCCAAAAACATGCTGAGGCTAATTGGAGTTACCAAATTGCCCGTAGGTGTGAAGTGTGAGTGTGCCCTCTGATGGGTTGGCACCCTGTCCTGGGTTGTTCCCTGCCTTGTGCCCTCTGATGGGTTGGCACCCTGTCCTGGGTTGTTCCCTGCCTTGTGCCCTCTGATTGGTTGGCACCCTGCC